GTAAACAATGAGGTGGATTTTCATAAAATTCAGTGGGGGTTTTAATTGGTTTTGGCAACAACATGCCTAATCCAATCTTTATGGGCCTACTACTTGGAAATACTTCATGTTAGCTGGTTTTTCCCAAGGTCTGTATAAGACAATGTCTTTAGTTAGCAGATTAAGGGATTGAGAAAAAAAGTGTAAGCTGGTGTGACAGGGCATCTATTCTGAAATCTTCTGGCTAATTTGAAAAGATAGAAAGGCAATCTTGTTTCATGGTAGACAATCATCTTAGATAGATCAACATTGTCCCCCCCCAAAACAAAAAAAGGTCAAACATGGCCACTCATATGGTTGATAAGTGACATTTGAAACTAATTAGCTGGCGGATCAAACTAAGCTGGCGGTGTAGACAACCACCTAAAAAAGTCGAGCAATGTTTGCCAAAATCTATGGTGGCGGTTTTTATAAATGCTAACAGTTCTGATCGATTGACCATCGTGTTAGTGCATTTCGAATCGCCTTAGGCAGGTGCCTAACTGCCACCTTAGATTTAAGCAGGCAGTTTTTAGACTGCCGCGTTTGCCTGTTTTTCTTGTAATGGTTACAACCTTTCTAGTATCATGCCTTTCTGGCGTCATAGATGGTTGGAGAAAAAATCATCCACACCGGGCCGACCTGTTACAAGTCAACATGCATTCAATACACATGGGGCTCACAAATAAATACTAGCATATTCACTTGTGATAGATGACCCAATTCGGGGTGTACAATTTTGTCTCCAGCTCAACGGGACTAGAAACCGCAAAATCTTTATCAGTAGCAATTTTCTTTGGTAAGTTTGCACTGTTGGGCCTTCCTTTTGGCCTAAGGCAAATCATAAATGCTCTCATGTCGACTTTGATGGCACAGTTCAGAAAATGGAAATAATGGAATTGGATTCACTTGAGACTTTCAAATTAGAGTAAAATATAGAAACCTCCTCGAGGTTTCTAAAAATCATCAAAATCTCCCTTGAAGTTTTACTTTAACAAAAACCTTCTTTATATTTTTTAAACCCACAGTAACCTCCCTTCCATCGTTATCCAGTAAAAAAGACCTAGAAGTTATGAAATTGCCCACACAATTTAAATGTCAGATTTGCATTTCTAAACTTCACTCAAACTAGCAAGTTTATAAAGTAAAGTTACTTTATTCTTTTTCATTATAACCAGGGTAAATATTTTAGTTGAATGTTAAAAAGTTCTTTGTAGGGGTAAATCTCCAACCAATTGATAGATATAAAGGTAAAATGAATATTTTCAAAATAACATAATGCATTAGCCAACATTTTCCATTTGAGAAAATAATATAAAGAGGTAACTGTAGGCTTTAGGTTTTTGTTGAAGTAAAACCTAGGGGAGGTTTTAATTTTCAGAGATTCTGAATTGTAGAATATGGGATAGATTTGCAAGAGAAAAAGGTAGCTGTCCTCAAATTGATTCCTGAACAGGTCCAAGTAGGCTAAATTTGAAAGAGATCCAATGCTCTCGGGAATGATTGAAAGCATAATAATTTTCCAACGATTCCAGATTCCAGATGATACGTACCGTTGTTAAAAGCCTGTGCTGGGCTTTTTCTGGGCATAGTTTTCAAAATTGGATCGGACCGAAAAAATTGGGAATTGGTCAGGTGATCGGTTTTGTTTTTTCTTAAAAATCGGATTTTTCCTCAAAATTATTGATTTTGACTGTTTTTTATTTTTTAAAAATTCTTTAAATTTTTTTATTTTTTGTTAGAACAGTCTGAGCATTCGATTCGAATGGTGGGACTGTTTGACCCGATAACCAAATCCTAACCGATTTGATCTCCAAGCCGCCTTTAAAAACTATGGTTCTTGAAATGATTGAGAAGACGACTATTAATCAAGGGATGCCATTAGTAGACCCTCAAACCAAAACCATGCAAACTACAACTATTTCCAAATTAATTATCAAGGGATGAAAGAGAGGAGGACGCCATTGACGCTGCTGTAGCCATTTGTGTGAATTCTTACCAACATCAATTATCAGCCCCATTTTTTATGGAGTCCGGATCTGTTCTTACAGAGTGTTTTTACACTTATCTCACAGCATGTTTTGGTATAATATTGGGAATATATCTTATGTTTGTATTTATCATATTCATGAGAAGATATTCTTAATACACGGTGGGATGTGACTGTGAGATCCATGTGAGGACCGCTATGTGAGTAGCAGATCCCAATTCCTTTGAATAGTCTTCGGCTTCTCTAAAACCACAAGAGTGAACCCATTAAATGCATGCAGGTCACCTCCACCCATGAGTCTCCACGATTGATTTGGAATATATCATTACTTGTAACAGGGTGAGGGTGAGCTTGTATATATGTAAATGGCGTGATTATTGGATGTAGTATTTTCAAATGTGGTCAATGTTTTAATGGTTTTCATTGGAAAATATATATTCATTTCAATTCTTCATATGATCCATAGAATACAAGATTTTGCATTTTACAAATAAAATAATACAAAATACAAGATTTTACCTTTATAATAAATAATGGGCACTATAATATAAAAATAAAGGGTTATGCATGTTAAATGCAAATTTTAATAATTTTTTTTTCAAGAAAATGCCTCTAAGCCAATTCATTAATCAACAAAAGACCGAGTTATAATACAAGGCTTCAACCTCCACTAAATGCTTGATACAATATTCGTGGGGACCAATTAATGGATCCATGCCTTCACGTACACGCTAGACCCCAAAGCTGTGCTTTGGAGTCAAGGTCTTCTTATAAGTAAGTCCCTTTAATGTTGGTCCATAATTTTGTTGACAATGATATTTTGTACGGGTACCATTCAAGTTGACCCCTAAATTAGAATTTTACGATAACTCGGTATGGCCTTCGGGTTGAGCCCACTCGACAACAGCCCAACCTGAGCCTGTCCAAGTTGTTCCCCTTAATATTTTGGTATTTAAGATAAAATGTAAATTTACTATAATAGCCTTCACCTACTTCAACCTCATTACAAGAAAACGTTATTTGGTGACGTTTGATTCACGATGTTTATTAAAAACGTCGTTAAAATTAAGATAACATTTCCATGAACTTTAAAGGGGAGAATTAAATTTACTAAAAACGATGTTTACTAAAAATGTAAATTCAAGCCCTTTCACCTTTAAGTTTCCGTTTGTTTCCGGGTAGATTGAAGGGGAGAGTTGGTCAACACGACCTATTCACCAAAAATCATGTATTTTCTTTCTGGGAACCGTGGATGCCATAGTAATTATTTTTTCATTAAATATCATTAATTAAACCATAATTTTAAATAAATTTCAACAATAGTTAAATATTGGTATTAGTAATTTGTTGATATTTTTTTCACTAGATATCAATAATAATTATTGCATTTATATTAATTACTTATTGTATTTTTGTTATAAATTTATTTTCAATAATTGCGTATTTTTTCATAAATAATCAATAATTATTGGAGAATAAATTATTGTTATTTATTGGAGAATAGATTATTAATTTAACTGAAATTAGTAGTATTCATTGGTTGGTTCATTATGGTTGTAGATTGTTTGGGCAACCAAATCGACTTGGTCAAGTTGGGAGCTGGTCACCTGAAATCGATCGACCATTAGACAAAACAGGCCAACTCGGGTTGTATCAATGTGGGTCATTTTTTATTTTAGTTAGTTGGTTCGAAACATTTAAACTTAAAAATAAATTAAATTTATAAATTAGATTGAAAAAATTAAATTTAATTTAAAAAATTACAATAGTTTTATTAAAATATAAATTGAAATATTTAAATTTACAATATAAATATTGTAGACTAAAAAATATGGGTATTTCCCCACTTTACCCTATTAAAAAATTATATATATATATATATGATTTTGGTAAATTTACGAATGGTCAAACCAAAAGTGACTGGAAATATTAGAAAGCCAACCATATCTCAGGTCAAGCTGGGTTGGGTTGATGAGTTTCAATGGTTTGATGCACAACCCTATCTTAAATATATCATTATTATTTTTGTATTTTAGAAAAATGATTAAAAATAGTATATAAAATATAAATAATTATTAATTACTTAAAAAATTAAAATACAAAACAATTATCTACTTTTATGTATTTCTGTTGTATAACGTTTGCTTAACAAAGCCTTGCCAATGCACGGGTCCCCGCTAGTTCCAATTCCAATTTCCATTTAAACTAAAAAGCTATAAAAAATAGACCATTCGGGTTCCCGTTCCAATTCCGAAGAATTCTGATTCCAATTCTGGCCACCAACCAAATGCAGCTTAAGTATTAACTTGGAGCTCTAATTGTATTGTTAATTAACATTCGAGGTATCTCTTCATGCATTCCAAACCGTTGATCTGGAATACCTTCTTCATGAATGAATGGAATCCAGCAGCCTTAACCAACATTTGAATTGTTTAAGATTAAAGAATGGAATCAAGCAGTCTTAGTTATTTAGTTATCCAAGATACTAAGTAGCATCCCCCAAGTAACTCGCAGAGGTCTCTTCTCCACGAGGAGCAACAAGAGGCTGTGCGCTGTGTTTTACAACCATTGGATAGGAATTTTATGATTTGATAAAATACAATAGGTTTGACATTTTAGTCATGTAGGGCTCCATAGATGTAATAGAATTTTCATTTCCTATTGATAAATGAAGCAACCCTTACGTGGGTAAGACGGCTAGATTTTTCTGGAAAACAAAATGATGCTCCAAAATAATTAACGACCTCACTCACATTATATATCATCATATTCAGTCTTTTACAGCTTCCATCTTAATTATATTCTTGCATGAACATGGATAGATTCATTTGCCTTGCGCTTCTCTTCTTGTTTGGATTCATTGCAAACATCAAGTTTAGCTTCTGTTATGTGGAGTTAAATGCGGGTTGCATCGATACAGAGAAGACAGCTCTTCTCAGCTTCAAGAAGGGACTCGATGATCCTTCAAACCGACTCTTTAGTTGGGATCTAAATGGCGAGAAGGATTGTTATAGGTGGATTGGAGTCCTCTGTGATAATACAACCAGACATGTTATCAAGCTTGACCTTAGTCATCATTCCTATTATGAATTTGGGTGGTAAAATAAGTCCTTCACTATTGGAGTTGAAACAACTCAAGTACCTAGACTTAAGTGGGAACTATTTTGGAGGGAATCAAATTCCTGAGTTCGTTGGATCACTCAAGAGCTTGAAGTATCTTAACCTCTCAGATGCAGGTTTCGGCATGATGATTCCTCGTCAGCTTGGTAATCTCTCCAGACTAAGCTATCTTGACTTAAGCCGGAATGATTTAGGAGGGACAATTCCGCATCAGTTTAGTAACCTCACTAAATTGATCCAACTCGATCTTGGCGGATATAATAATGGGTTAGAGGTTGACAATCTCCAATGGCTTTCCCGTCTGTCATCTTTGAATTACCTCGACATGAGTCTGGTAAATCTCGCAATGGCAACTGATTGGCTTCAGGTAATAAACATGCTTCCTTCTCTGTTAGATTTTCATTTGTCCCACCGTGAACTTTCTAACATTCCCATTCTTCATCTGGTCAACTTTACATCTCTTTCCAACCTAGATCTTTCTAATAATAATTTCAATTCTTTAAGGAGGATTCCCAATTGGTTGCTTAGTCTTCAGGGTCTTGTTTCTCTTGATTTAAGATACAATTCCATTCAAGATCCATTTTTGGATTCGCTTTGGAACATGTCAAGTCTTAGAATTCTTCGTCTTAGTAGAAATCAATTTCAAGGAATGATATCAGATGCCATAGGTAACCTGACCTCACTAACAGACTTGGACATGAGTGGAAATCAACTTGAGGGGTGGAAACGAAGAACCTGGGAGAACCTTTGCAACTTGAAGCAATTAGATTTATCTCACAACAATTTCAAGGGAGAGATACTTGGACTGTTAATAAATTCATCCCAGTGCTTTATGGATAGTTTGGTGTCCTTAGATTTGGAATCCAACCAACTTTCAGGTCATCTACCCAATGAAGTTGGGAATTTTAAGAATCTCAAGTTCCTTTCACTAAGAACCAACTCACTTTCCGGTCCTATCCCCAAATCTCTTGGACATCTTTCAAACTTGGAAGAACTACACGTCTCTCAAAATTCCTTGAAGGGTGTAGTGTCCGAAATTCACTTTGCTAATTTGACAAGTTTAAAAATCTTGGATGCATCGTCAAATTCATTGGATCTAAAAGTCAACTCCAACTGGGATCCTCCTTTTCGCCTCCAAATCATATTTCTAAGATCATGGAAAATAGGGCCCAAATTCCCTATGTGGCTTCAAACACAGAAAGGTTTGGAAGCACTGGATTTATCTGACACTGGGATTTCAGAAGTTCTTCCCACTTGGTTCTGGAACTTATCTTCCCACATTTCTTATCTAAATATCTCTTGCAATCAAATCATTGGTGAGATTCCCGGCTTAGTGAAAATGGAGTCATTTTGTCCAATCATATTTTTAAGATCAAACCGTTTTAGTGGTCCACTACCTTCCTTTTCTTCTAATGTAACAGCATTAGATCTTTCCAATAATTACTTTTCTGGATCGATATCCCACTTTCTATGTCGTAAGGTTGAGGGCTCGGTAAATAAGTTGGAATACCTTAATTTATCCGGAAATACTCTATCAGGTGGAATTCCAAATTGCTGGATGAATTGGCCTTTATTGGTACTGATAAATCTGGGGAACAATAATCTAACAGGGAATATTCCAAGATCTATTGGCTCCCTCACGCAGCTTCTATCATTGTACCTGCGCAACAATAATCTCTTCGGAGAAATACCATCATCATTGCGAAATTGCACCTCGCTGAATGTTCTGGACCTTGGGGAAAATGAATTGTTTGGAAGAATACCGCAGGGGATGGGACTCGACCTATCAGATCTATGGGTTCTCGATCTGCGGTCAAATAGATTTAATGGAAGCATTCCTTTGGAACTCTGTCAGCTTGTTTCTTTGCAAATTCTAGACCTTGCAGACAACAATTTATCAGGGACCATCCCACATTGTTTCGGAGATTTTAGTGTCATGGCCGAAAAGCATGACACAATTGACATCTCTTATTATTATTCTTCTTTTTATTATTCTGATTTTGGAGACGAAGTATGGTGTATGTTAAGAGGCAGAAAGGCTAAATATAGTAGCACTCTAAGACTTGTAACCAGCATGGACCTTTCAAACAACTGCCTATCAGGGGAGATCCCTAAGGAACTGACACGTCTCATCGGACTAATGTCATTGAATCTGTCACGAAATCATTTGACAGGAAAGATACCAGAGGAGATCGGTGACATGGGAAAATTGGGAGTATTGGAAATACTTGATTTCTCGGTAAACAATCTTTCAGGTGTAATTCCCCAAGGCATGGCAAGTTTAACTTCTTTGAATTTCTTGAAACTTGTCATATAATAAACTGTACGGAAAGATTCCATCGAGCACTCAGCTGCAGAGCTTCAACGCTGACAGTTTTATGGGCAACCAAGGACTTTGCGGACCTCCACTCACTAAGGATTATTGTATTGGAGATGGCATATTTCCAAAACCAAGATCAAATGATGACAGCAGTAGGGGGAGGAGAGATTTGTCTGAAACGGAATGCTTCTTCCTCAGTATGGCAATTGGATTCGTGGTGGGCTTTTGGGCTGTTTTTGGTCCAATTCTGTTCAATAAGTCATGGAGACGTTCATATTTCCATTTCCTGGACAGTATCAAAGACAAATGCTTTGCTTGACCTACTGAGTGGTGACCAGTTGGTACGTTTGCTTGGTAGTCCCAATATGCGGATTCGAATCCCGCTATTACCACTTATCTTAAGTCTGCGAGTTGTTGATGACGTGCTTGAACTAGTGGCCTGCTCATCTTAGTAGACCCGGTCCTTATTGAACTGTTGCAGGAGTTATTGATTTTCTATTTTTGATAAATACCAGTTGCATGAATTTATGACGTATAATTTGTATGTGCTTTGCTCTCTGTGGAGTTTTATTAGGGCTGTCAATGGGTTGGGTGACTTGGGTCCAACCCAATCTGTTTCTCATTATTGTTTCAGAATCGTTTATACCCAGTCTCGAACCGATTCAGACCAGATTGGTTAATATTTTCAATAGTTTATTCTTATCAGATCCACAGGGTCAAGTCTGATTGTCCCAAGAACCAATCAATTCGGTTCTGAATTTAAAATTATAGGCTCTGGAGGGTTTTGTTCAATTCTGGTTTCTCATATTTCTTTTCGGGTCAGTTCTAGTTCTATCTAGACCCGATCTTTTAATTTTAATGAATAATTATTCAAATTATGCTTCTATGTCTGTATTTGTTGATAACTAGAAATGATCGTGAAAACCCTTGAAATTTAAGGTATAACGATGGTGCAAATCGTAAATTGAGGTGTTATCCGCCGAGGTAGGCCCAGGCCCAGCCTATAATCCTTGTCGGTGCAAAACATAGGCATACGACCAGCCTGGCCCGGCCCATGATATGTGCCTTGAATTGCCTTCTCTTCTTTGTTACCCTTTTTCTTTTCTCTAAATTTCCATGAAGTTTAGATCCATGAATTGCAAATAAATTAATCGAGAATTGTAATTGCAGATATATTTTGCCGGTAATCTTCTGAGAAGCAAATTATATTGGTTGAGTACAGCATTTGAATAATCTTTTATGCTGAATGGAAAAGATACAAAAATGAAAGAGGTGTTCATTTTAGAAAGTAATTTGAAAACAAATTGTTTTAATATCATACTTCTTTTATTGTATCAGTCCATGACACAAAATGATTTCTATTGAGGGCATATGGGCTTTTAAAACCTGCAACTGGTGGGAAGATTCAGAAATCTGAATCTGGCCCATTTGTCGCTCCTGGGTTGAAGGGAATCTTATATACAATAATTTAATAAATATATAATTAGGGATGATAATTAATAATTACTGTTATTATAAATATTGTTACTAACTAGATATTTACTTTAATTTACAAAGACCCCTCCAATTCTATGGGGTCTGTGACAAAGATCCCCTTGCACTTTGTTTTGCGACAAAGACCTCCCTGTACTAAGACAAAGACCCCCTTCCATTGGCCTTCATCCAAACTCCCAAAAAACCATTATAATGTTTTTTAATTCCAATATTACCCTTGTAATAGCTATTTAGACAATTAAAAAGAAAAAACGCTGTTCATCTTCCCTGACTTCATGCAGCAACGACAGTAATCCCCTCTACCTCAGATTCCATCACATTCCTTCTCTCTCTCTCCCTCTCTCTCTTCTTCCCCTTTCCCTTTCTCTCCTCCTCTTTATTCTTCCCACTTTCCTCTGTTTTCTGTCCCAAATCCTTGTCAGAGGTTGATATGGAGCTTGCTTCACAGCTTTGAACATTTGTTAACACTAAATGTAGGTTCATAATAGGGGATTTCTCCGAGGTCCCACCTACTCTTCGGAACTGCAACGCTGTTTGTCAATATAAGAAACTAAAAGAAGGGGTACAAACAGAGTCTGCAGGAAGAGAGAACAGAATTTCGAGCCTTAACTTTGTTGTCAATATAAGAAACTAAAAGAAGAAGCAATTGGGGTTCAGTTTAACATTTAAGACCAGCATAACAAGAATAGAAGATTGGGTTAAAAACAAGGAGGTTGAAATTTATTTAGATTAGATAAAGTGAAAGCAACACAGGAGCAGCTTTTAGTCAGCAGAGGAGAATGTGAATGATGGGACTTGTAGACATTTTAAGTTGAATGCAAATCAAATGACATATCTGGAAATAGAAACAAATAAACAACCTAGACAGTGAAAAAGAAAACAAAATCGTTCTTCCATTCACTTACTCGCACTGGTTTAAATACACAATTTTCTAACCAGCTGTTGGAGGGTTTGGGCAATATCTGGATTTTGGAGAGAAGTCGAGAACCGAATCTCGATGGAGAAGAAGGAACGGAATTAGACACTGCAACGAGCTGTGACTGCTATGGCCGAGAGGAACGGAAAACAGAGGAAAGAGGGAAGAAGAAAGTGAAGGGATGAGAGATCCATCCTATGGACGCCCAAAGATTGCGGAATAAGGGGCGAATTTCAAAAATTTTATCTCTCCCTTCAACTGGGAATCGTATTCCCTATTTAGAAAATCATATTTTCAAGGATCAATCTTGAACCATAAA